TTTGTGGAATCGAAGGAACCTTGCTTTTCTGAGTACTATTAGCACAGGTTGACCTGCCCGGGGTGAGAGGAGGTGCCTTTTGCCATCTCTAGCACTTCACTTTGTGGTCGGCACCTCATTTCATTTATTGAGACAATGAACCCTAAAATTTACCATATTTACCCGAATCTAATACACATCTTTTTGGCTTAATTGCTTTGCCAAAATTGAGGTGGACATTTTGGGGTGATTGCCTCTGGAGTATTTAGTAATTCATTGCAGTGTGTTGGGGGGGAGGGGTTCCATGAGATTTGCTTGTGGTTCCCTTTTGCAGCCCTAAGTAGATTTGGGGGTTAAAGTCTAGGTCCCCAGCATAGTGCTCCTAGGATGCATCTACACTGCAGAATTAATGCAGCTTGACACCACTTTTAATTGCTATGGCTCAGTACTATGCAGTCCTGGGAGTTTGTAGTTTGGTGAGGCAGAGAAGGCTGAAGACCTTCTAAACTACTGCCCCCGTGATTCCATAGCACTGAATCATAGAAGTGAAAGTGGTGTCAGACTGCCTTAATTCCTGTGCAGATTCACCCAAGGACTTTGGAATCACCAAAGATGCACCTATCCTATACTATAAGCATGTATACTGTCTGATATCACTGAGAATACCATTATTCAGTGTATGGAATCCTAGGATTTATAGTTTGGAGAGGCAGAGAAAGAGCTTGTAGAATGAAAACTTCCAGGATTCCAAAGCATTGAGCCAGATCAATTAAAGTGATATCAAGCTGTATTCATCCTACAGCATAGATTCACCTAAGGAAGCTGAGCCAGGATAAGCAGGAGGGGCTTGTTGAGGGAAGGGTTACTCATTTCTCTGGTTTTCTTTTCAATTGCTGGAAGATTTGGTGTCCCAACACTTTGGTTTTTAAACAAGCATCTTTAAGCAGGCAGCAACTGTAATGCACATTTTGGGGGAGGAGGCAGATTTCCAAGAGTGCACTTTTTGGAGCTGCTCATTACATTCACCAGCATTTTTTTTTGTTTCATGGTTTTAAAAATTGAGGTGTGCATTACATTAGATGGCACACTAGATTTGAGTAAATATGGTAGTTATCCATCTCATCACACTTTATAAATATTCCAGTATTATCGTCATTCATCCTCATTTGGCACTTCTTGGTTGGATAGAAATGAATGACTGAAAATTCAGTTAGCTCTCTAATCCAGCCATGTGTTTTTACCATATCATAGTGGCATAGTGGGGACTTTGTAAGTTAATTTCTTCATCTACTCAAATGATAGCAGTGAGCAGCAGCTAATTTAAGTTAATTGCAGCATATGGTGAATTTATTACTGCAACATGTGCAACAGTTATCTGATTGTGGCTGAGACTGATATATCACTGTGCAAGTCGTCTGTGCCCAGTAAGTGCTGCAGTGCATCTTTTGCTCCTTTGTCTCTATAAAACATGTTTCCTAACTCCCTTTGCCAATAAGACCTGTTGTTGGGAAACAGTTGGTAAACACAATTATTTTAATCTTGACTTGGTTTTGAAACTTTAATGCACTGTAGTTCCTCCTACTTTCCCAGCACTTGCACTTCACCATTGGCTCAGCGCATGTAAAGGCCTTACTCTCTTCAGAAGAATGCATTTTATGGGGTAATAACATGAAGTGGACTAAAATAAAATTCCTGTTGTTCTTACATTTCATGCTGCAAGCTGTTCAGAAACCTGTGGTGTTGGTTGGCTTTATGTAAACATAAACACATTTCCCATGTGTCATCTGTGCTTGCCATTAAACATTACTTTCCATTTGTTATTGAGCACTGCCAGGAACAGGACCTTGTGGTCAGTTTTTTTAAAGATACAGAGCTATTTGTGTATTTTTTTGTGTGTACAAATAATGCAACTATTCTTTTTTAAAATAATATATGGAAATCATTTATTATAAATAAACAACTTCATTGTAAAATATTATTGAGTGGATGGCTTAAACTGCATCATGATAAATGATTTAATCTGGAAAAACACATTTGATTTTTTTTTTTAAAAAAAAAACAACGCTATTCTCAAAAATCTAGTCAAAAGAAAATAAAACCGGGAACTGCAGGTCATAATGATCATCCCAAAAGCAAGAAAGAAATATGAATGCTCTCTAGCATGTATGTTTTCAGAAACTAAGATGAACTCTTACTATCCCCACATCTAAGTAGACATTATCTGGTAGCCATAATACTTGTCAGTCACAATTCATTGAATTTTGCCAATGTCATTGATCTACAATTGAAGACTAAATTTAATTGGCAGACCTTGTGACTATAACATCCCTCCTCAATTTTGACTTCTGTTTTTTTATTCCTGTTCTTGTTTTTAAAGGCACTTCCATACAGCTGTATATTTTAGAATATCAAGGCAGAAGATCCCACATTACCTGCGTGTGCACTCAGAAAACCTAGTTCAGGGCAGATATTGTGGGATTTTCTGCCTTGATATTCTGAGATATTGGGCTGTGTGGAAGGGTCCTGGGATATACAAGTCCACACTGCCATATATTCCAGTTCAAAGTGGATAATCTGGGTTATATGGCTGTATGGCTGGGTTATATGGCCCTTAGTCTGGTGAAATATTATGGAGAAACTGAAAAACTGGTCGTTTTGTGGCACGACTTATAATGACTTTACTCTTATCTGAGAACCAGGGTTTCAAAGGGAAACTGGGGGATTTCTGTGACCATTCAATTATGGGTTACCATAAATTTCCAATACATCCTCTATGTTGTTTAATATTTATATTGGAGGAGGTAATCAGGAATCTTAGAATTGTATGTCACCTGTATATGTCAGCCAGCTCTGTTTCTCAATGTCATCAGAGTTGTATGAATCTGTAAAGATGCTGGCCTGTTGTCTGGAAACTATAGTGGAGTAGATGAGGATGAGACTGAATCTTGACATGAAGGAAGCTGTAGTTTAGAGGGTTTTAATTCTAAGTTGAGGACCTGGCCTACCTTGGATGTGCTTACTTTTCCTGCAAGAAGTGAGTTTGTAGCTTGTAATTCATACCGGATTTATTCATTTCATTAACATGCTTTTGGCCAGTTGGTTGGCCTAATTGGACAAAGATAAAGCAGCCACAGTAGTTCATGCACTGGTAGCTTCCCATTTCGGTTGCTGCAGTTATCTCTGTGGAAGGTTGTCCTTGGGAACAGACGCTATGGCTAATGAAGAATGAAACAGATACAGTATCAGAGAGGAACCACACTGTGCCAGTTTTAAACCAGGTTATGGCAACCAGTATGCCCCAATCTAAACTCAAAATGCTGGTGATGGCTTTAATACTCTAAACACATTGAGACCTCTAGGCTCAGGGTGGCTAGAATAGCTTCTCCTTTTCATCAGCAGGGGATTTTTTTTCCTACTCCAACAAGTTTGGGGGAAGTGATGGCAAAGTGTGCTGTTTTACTGCTCTTTTGGCATTTTAATCATTTTGCTTCAAATGGTTTTTAATTATTGATGCTTTAATCACATTTCCATAATATTTTGAGTAGGTGTTTACTTAAATATTTGTATATGTTTATCATCTCTGTTTTAATTGGTTTTGGGGGAAAGTCTGAAAGATAACATCTTATGAAATATTAAGGAACATTTGAGATAAATTTTCCCAAACACTAAGATCTCCCAAGGAAGCTTGCTGTTTCCTACCCAGTAAAATAGGCCTTCTTGGCTGTGATGCCCTGGCTATGGGATGCACCTTCTTAGAGTCGCCAATTTTGATGTCATTCTGGCACCAAGTTAGCACTCATCTGAATTATCATCACTTTCCTTGCTCTGTTATAATATAAGTTTCATTGTTATTAAGGCATTTTAAATTGTGTTTAATTTTTTTTAATTGAAGAAACAATATAAAGTATTTTCCATATATATATAAGATAAATTGAAAAAAACAAAAAGCAGAAAAGAAATAGTAATAAAATATGTAGAGCGGAGGGGAAAAGAGGGAAACAAAAAAGAAAAAAACATATTTACAAAAATATATACATTACTTCCATCTACTTGATGGTGTTGCTTCCAGTGTTTCTTACAGTCTTCATTGTATCCCACCTGCAAACCCCTTTCATTATCCATTTGTACTTACAGCTTTTTACATATGTGCATATCTTCTTTCTATCTTCTTTAAATTAGTATTTTAAACTTTTCCTTTTTTAAGATAGTCTTTAATTTGTTTACATTATCTTTACATTGATTTAAGATGTTTTATTGACTCTACCCTGTCCTGAGGTCTGTGACAGGAAACAAATTTAAATAATGGGAGCTGAACCCTATCTGTGTGCAATTGGCCCCCTGTATCCATGGGTTCTGCACCCAAAGTTCATCCAACTACAGCTCACACCATTTCACCGATCCTCTGGCTTTACCCATAACTTGTTTGAGTTATTTGCCATTTTATATTAGAGATGCCATTTGAGTTGTATATGACAGGGTTTGAGCATCCACTGATTTTGAAAACCATACGGGGTTGTGGAATCAAACCACAGTAGATATTGAGGACCCACTGTATTTTAAATGTTGCACAAAGTGCATACTGTCGTCTGTGACTGTTTACATCACAATACACATGATAATCTTTAGAGTGCTTCAAATTTTTTTTGGTTTTACTGCAAGTGACTAACATGGCTATACTACAGTGGTTCTCAACCTGTGGTCCCCAGATGTTTTGGCCTACAACTCCCAGAAATCCCAACCAGTTTACCAGCATTTAGGATTTCTGGGAGTTGTAGGCCAAAACATCTGGGAACCCACAGGTTGAGAACCACACTGCTATACTACTTTAACTTGTGGCAATTCCTAAACTTTTTTTTAGTTGTACTCCTTCAAAATTAGTGGCAAAGATCTTTGATAAAATAGAGCCCTATTTTTGCAATATTTATGCTGTTTTTTTCATTGTGCTACAATATAGTAAGGCTAATTAAATCTACTTCTATGTTTTTTTAAATGTTGAGCACTGATACTGATACTTTTTTCAGGATAGGGTGTGGGCCAACGTGGGGAAAAGTTTAAACTGCATTATTGCAATGGTGGATAGATTGCTTGAAAAAGACTCACCCAGCATCACAAAGGAAAAGGAAAATGACCCTCCACCAGTTGAACATGTGGCATCTCACACAAGTGGTAAGAAAGACATTTTTGTATCATTTAAAAGCTGAATTAAAAATTGAAGTAAAGAGAGATGAGGATGAAAATGCTGATAGTACAGTTTTACAGAAATCTGACCTTAAATTTTAGCAGGGTGTTTATCAAATTGCATCTCTGTCACATAGTCAGGAATTGCTTGCTGTGCTCATTTTGTGTGCGCGCGACACGAAAACCTCTTTGAAAGAACAGTGTTCTGCTTTGAAGTTTCTGATACATTTTAATCTGCTCTAGGCTTTCCCTGAAAATAGCATTTACAGGAAGAGTCAAGTGCACACACTTAACTCTTGCCAACCAGGCTTGTTGGGAAACAAAATACCTTCTCAAAATAAATTGCATGCTGCCAAAATAAAAAAAAACTGTGCAGTTTATGCATACAAAGTTTGACTGAAGTCTACCAGCATGTTTGTAGTTTTCTGCTAGCACTACAGGGCTTTCTCTCTACAGGTCCCTGCACCACCCAAAAATATGCACTAGAAATTCTGCCTTCTACGGTTATTCTAACAAAAGCCTTTCTGACAGCAGAAGAACACAAATCTTGTATTGTGCAAATCTTGGGGTCATAGGATAGATGTAAACATACTTAGCATAGAGTCACTAAAATGAGCATAGTTGTCTTGACTGGTCAATGTTAGTGATTTCAGGAAGCAAACTCCAAGCATGAGTCAGATGAGACGCATGACACAATTATATCATTGTGATTCTACTATAACTGATTAATTTATTTATTTCGTATCAAAAGCATTGCATAAATTAGGATAAAACAGATAAAAATAGATGGAGCACAAGTGGCTAAATACAGGGTTAAGCAGCATAACTTCCTTTTTTAAAATGCGCTCCATTCAGTCAGTTGAAGATGTAGCGGAGCGCTCGTGGTCTCGTTCGATAGGCGGGAGTATAAAGTTTTGTCCTGAAACAGTTCCGTCGTCATCATGCATTGGAACAGTGAGGAGCATGCTTTTGCTGTTGAGGCCTACTTTTTGAGCGGATTTGGAGTGGCCGGCCCGCTCTCCAGATTTGGCCCCTTGTGATTTTTTTCTATGGGGTTTTTTGAAATCCCGTGTTTATGTGAACCGTCCAAGGACCCTACATAACGCCTGCTATGCTGGCAAGAGTCATGACAAATGCCAGAAATCGGTTTACTCAGTGTATGGAGAATGGGGGACGTCACCTACCTAATTTAATCTTCAAAACTATATAAAACAAAACTTGGCCTTGAGGAAAATATTTTTGCTTCTGTCCTTAATTTACTATAGTTCATCAGTCTGTTGATCACGGGCAAATTGTGATTAGTTTTAAATGTTGCACTGAAACTATTAGTATAATTTGCATTTTGGACATAACACTAAACTGTAGCTAATGGAAAATGGGGCAGGGAAAGCATTGAACACCTAACCCAAAGGAGAGAAGTAAAGGAGAAAACACAATATCACAACCATAGTTTACCATTATATCTGCAAGAGGCAGCATAGTCCATACCATTAAATGATTATACTTATACAGCAGAAATGAAATGGAGGCAAAATAACAAATGTCAAAAATATTTTGATCAATGTGAGGGTAGAGATGGATGCTAGAAGTCCTGTTTGTTGTTGTTCCTGTTTAGCCTTTTCTTGACCTTATACTTTCACTAAAAGCTTTTGTTCATGTCTTAATCCTGACAGAGTAGGCTAGAAATCAATACTGTAAATATATCAGAAATGTAATGATAACAAAGAAGAGCAGAATACCATTGTTCAACTAGGTTAAGTGCCATGTTTGGCTTATGTGCAGATTTGTTTCATAGTATTCACTACTTATTACATCTTCGATTCAAGCCAAGCCAGCAGTGGCAGAAATCAATTATTCAGTGTGTGCATGCATACCTAGGCATACATGTGCACACTGCATACATGATCACTTTCATGCAATACATAAATTCATAGCAAATTTCCTGTGAAATCAGTTTTTTGTGTAGAGTGTAGACTGGTTTGGAGACTAGTCTCTTAAAAAAAAAACCTGGGTGCAATGTGTGTGCATAGTTCTGTCCTGAAAGCATGCTTCCTATGACTTCTATGTGTGCCAGAAAAAAAGATGACCAAATGGAGAGGGAATGGGGATGAGATTGGATTGGATTGGAATAGAATCTAAGACGGCTTTTTTAGATCCGTTGTAACATATTTGCCAAGAAAATCGATATTCACATGCCAAATACCTTAACTTCTATTTATTTAATATCCTTTTTGGCTACCTAACCGTGCAGTGTTCTCAAAATCGTAAAGAGAACAAAAGAAATAATACAATGTAAAAAGAAAAACTAATACAAAGAGCAATTTCAAATAAAACTAGCAGACTAAAATACAATTCAAGGCCTTTCTGCGTAAAGTACATGTGGGAAGGCCTGGAATGTCCACCCCTAAAGTCAGTACTTTCCATTTCCAAAGCCATCAGATGAGGAGACTTATTCATCACACTAGAGATAAAATCCACTTAAAATCCAGTTTCTGCCTCCTGCAGAATTCTGAAATTTGTAGTTTAGGGAGGAGCCTTTATCAGCTTCATAAAACTACAAACCTCAGAATTCTGCAGGAGGCAGAAACCGGATTTTAAGTGGATTTTTTCTCTAGTGTGATAAAGTTGTCACTGGATATATCTAAACTGCTTGACTCATCTCACCTCCTGGCAGTCTTCCTTTGTTTCTGTTGGCTATCCTGGTATTACTACTACTGCTTTTTTTTTTGGCTGGTCTCTTCACTGGTCCCATGTCCCTTTCTGTGCTCCATGAGTCATCATCAACTGAGCTTTGTGATGGAGAATGAGCATGCCTCCCTCTTCTCCTTTCTGCCTTCCACTAGCCCGTGGCAATACCCCATGGCTCCTTTGCTCCACCTGCCAGTTGCTCAGTGTGCCTTCTCTCCTGCCAGTTGGCTAGTTGCTGATCCCATTGCGGCACAAGTTTTGCCAACATGTGGGGGTGTCAAGGGACGCAGAACCGTTCTTATCCCCAGCTGGAGATTTTCTGGCAGAGGAAGCTGCAGGTTGATCCAGTACCAATATCCTGTGTAGAATTGTCAGGCCTGCCTTGCCCAGTGACAATTCGTGGGCCATCTGTTCTGGCCCCTGGCACTTGGCAGGAATGATTGTTTCCTTTTAGCCTTTTGCGAATTCTTGCCCTTTGGCACCTTCCCGAAGAATGGAGTCTTACACTGTTGATCAGTTTGGCTTATTATATCACTCAGCAAATGTCGGACCCAATTAACTTGGGTAGATAACCCAAATTGCAGGATTAGATTAGTTCCTGAAAGGAGATAAAGAGATGGCTAAGTGTTCAGGGGGCAAATTTATTATGATTGATTTCTTTTGCTTATTCATTTGTCAAACACATGTGAACACTCAACAAGGCATGCATCCATTGCCCCACATTTACCCAGATCACTTAATGATAATCTCCCCTTGCTTCCTAGTTATGTTTTGGTTAGACTAAATTTCTTCCTTTCTCTTGTTGCTTATTTTGCTTCTGGCTCTACTGGGATCAATGAAACTGGGAAGGAGAAGCCCTGGTTGTGCCTAAGCCTGCTCTGTGCCTAAAACTCCACTCTGGGCTTGACTACCAGAAAAGATGTGTCCTGATTAGGTCTTCCACATCTGCTAGTCTTTGGCTACATTGGGAATGCTGGACCTTGTTAGTGATTACAGCCTTCCTGGAGCCCTCAAAGGGACTAGTCAGTATACAGTCCTAAAAAGAGCTCTTGGTTCAGCTCTGTAAAAAACTGATTTGGTCATGTATTGCCTTCAAAATGTTTATAGCCACCTTGAATCCCATTATTGGAAAAATGTGGGCTATAAATGATGATGATGATGATGATGACGATGACGACGATGATGATGACTGTGATATAGTTGTCATGTTTAAACAATTTTGAGTTATGCTGTTGTACACAATTTTACATTTATGTGTGTGTGTAAAATTGTATATATACACACACATTTGCTTTGACTCATTTTACTCACTAAGTATTCTGTAATCTGTCCTAAAAGCTGATCCTGGAGTCCTTCTTAAGGCTGAAATTGTGATATCGGTTTCCACAGTAACCATCTATGGTGTCATCAACACAGCATTATGATTTCACTGCAGAATAAAGATGTTAGAAAGCATACATTTTGAAGGAAGAAGTATGTTCTAAAGCGGCAGCACACTTTCTGCTTAATATAGAAAATTAATGACAATATTTTTCATATCTGTGAATTCAGAATGCCAATTTCTCCTCTTTGAAGCAATTTTAACACATTTTGTAGATTGTCACACTCAGTAACAATAAAAATTATTTTAGACACATTGGTCATAAAAAGAACAACAAAAATAATGCTGTGGAATTACTGTTAGCAAGCAGTAGCAGTGGTGTCTCTAGGGCTGGAGTCATCTAGTGCGATAACTCAGAGTATCATTCCTATGGGTCTCCTTCCATATCTCACTATACTACAATATTGTACCCAAAATATTAGAGCCTTCAAACATCCATATCCCTTACATTCTGAGATTTTGCATGTGTACACACACATACATGCACATGTGCACACACAGAGTGCCCGGTTCCTTGCTCCCAATGCTAAAGAGTAGGAAGGGATCGAGGAATTTAAAATGTATGCTGAGTCCATTTAGTGGGATGAAATGTGTCTCTCAGCAGTCAGAATTGCAAATTAAGCCCATATTTATCATCACAGATCAAAGAACACAACACAAAAGCATGTGTTTTGGCATACAGTGAGAAAACACACAAACTGCTGTTGCTGGTGGTTTGTTTTAAGAAAAGGGGTATACTGAAGAAGAGGCAGTGAAATGGGGAAACACCATGTAAGTATGTGGGAAAGAGGATCAGAGACTGGAGGGAATCCAGTCTGAGCACACACAAGGGAGGGAGCACGTTCATCTGCTGTAAAGAAATCCAGCCATAGCTGGGAAGGACAAAGTTCTCCCTCATCAGCCTTCAATGAACCAAGGG